GTTATTCAGCTTTCAGATGATGTATAAATCTCAATTTTGAAAAATTGACCCTTATGACTGGTTTTGTGGTCCATAGTCACAATTGATCAACTGAGACAGACTGCTGTTTATATCTGGTATTGAGATGTCTTGTGCAACTTTTCCTAATATATAATTTTTTGCAGCTTTTACACTACAAATGCAATATAGAGTGCTGCAGTGATGACGTATTTTTGCAGGCCAGATACAGTTCGCATCACCCTGGTTTCTTTGATAAAAACTCAATAGCATTTTCCCACTGGCTTTTTCAAATATTGCATAAAATAAGCTCTGTGACCTACAGAAGTGCATGATTTGTGTTTTGTTTATCACGATAATCTTCACAAATGAACACAATGCTGATGCCGTGGTCACATGACTTCAGCTTCACCACCATTAAGCTTCCAACAACTCTTTCAGTCCATTTACCCTGAATGTTTGAGTTAGAATAGTTGCAAGAGTGTGATTATAAACACATCGAGGCTGACTAGTGACTGACTAAAAGCGACTAGTGAGTAGATGAGTTTACTTGTTCGGTGTGATCATGTTTATTGTCCCCGACAACTTCTGTAGTCCCATTTAGACAGTCCTTTTTTTAACACACATAAAAGCTTTAAAAGAAATCACAAGGGGTTTTACTGACACATTTTATGTTGTAGAATAGAACGTGCAAATATCCCGAGCTTGTGTTAAACAGACCTTATTTCAGGCATTTAACCAAAAACCCATTCAAAAAAACTTTGACTTCAGGACGATGGAACCAGAAGTGCTAAAATGCCAGCCTGATCTCACGGCAATTCGTACATATTTTAAGAGGTGGCTAATTCGTACGACCTCACTCGATTTGTGCTAAATCGTATGTATTTTACGAGTTGCACAATTCGTATGAATTTGTAAGAATGACCTACACTTAACCCCGCCCCTAAACCTACCTGGCAGTGGGGTCTTGACAAATCGTACAAAATCGTACGAGTGAGGTCGTACGAATTAGCCACCTCGTAAAATACGTACGAATTGGTCGTGAGATAGTGTTGAAAATGCTCGTTCTGGGTTTTTCCCTACAAAATGCTTCATCCCAGCAGCTCTCTATAGTCACTTTATTTCTAGTCAAAATCTGCTAGGGGTTAATTAAATGAAACAAATCGTGTAAAAATGTATTTTATTGGAAAATTAAACAAAATTTGATCAAACTTTGATAATTTTCTCAAACTTTTAAACAACTGATAAAATAGTAATCTACATTTTATAAAAAGTAATTTTCAGCGAGTGAACAACAAATGTATTCTCATGTGCATTATGTATTAGGTACGTTACGGTCTCTGACAGAAAGTAGCACTGTCCAAAAAGTTTTTTAATTTCGAATATTCGTCGAATTTAAAATAAAAATCCACATTCGAATGCAAAAACGTTGCATTCAAATTTTAGGTGTGCGTCAGGCAGCCTTATCAGTGGCGCACGA